TTACGAGCAGTTCCTTGGCGATCGCGTAGCTCTCTAAGGAACGTGACAGAAAGGGAAAGAGAGAAAGAAGGTAACAAGAAGATCGAGCTGCGGGAGAACAAAAGTCGCCGGACGGCGACAACGACGACGAACGTCATCGCGCGGGAACGACACGGCCCCGCGAGAAAACGCGCTCCAGGCCCGCCTAATAATTCTCCGCGGACGACGCGCGACGTGTACGTGTCACGGCGTCGCGACGCGCGCGTCCGTCTCGCCGTTGCTGGAACGGCGAGAGCTCGCGGGCTTATATCTCTTCTTTTTTTTTTTCATCTCGAGAAAACAAGACGATTCCCCCGAATACCGAAACGGGGAGATCCCGCACCGAAGAGCCGGGAAGAGTCTTGAGAGACGACTTTGCACTGTAAATCCCGGAGGTCTCATCGAAAACGAGATACAGTTAGTCCGCGATCGTGAAGATGTACGTTTCCTTCACGCGTTCCGCGTTCTAAGAGAATATACCTCTGAGTGGTCTGGATAAGAGATCAGAAAGATTATTTTAACACGTAGACATGTAGGAAACGTGCAAAACGTTCAAAAGTACAAGGGATAATGTAGAGATAAACGATAAGAACGTTACGACAGATGATTGATATGCTCTACTTCATTTTAAGAGTACGTTCCTAAATATGTTCCTAATCAAAGACAGTTTCATACAGATTCAACTGTGATTAGGTACGAATAATTAATTGTAATTGGCTTGACTTAGTTAATTTAGTTTTCTAACCAATAAAAGCTTTATTAGATATTACAGATTTAAATCCCCCATCAGATTTCAGCAATTTATGCGATTGCTGTTTGCGAAAGCAAACTTCGAATTCATTGCGACACCTGCTCCTAGGAAATCATTCTGCATGTAAAATGTTTCGACCTACAAGATTATTTGCATTTCCTGCGAAGAATAGACGAACTTAAACTACTATACCTTACCACGGAATTACGAGTCCGACGAATTTCGCGGAAGTGCAAACGACACGATTGTTCTGAGCGATGATGGCGTTAAGTGTTCATTAATTGTCGCAGAATCGACCCACACGACGTCGCGGTTTATTATCGTCGAAATAATGAAGGCTTTAAGCGGTTCCCAAAAGTAGCTGGCGGATTTTATTGAGGCAGGCATCAAGCGTTTGGTCTCGTAAAAGCCTCATATAAAATCGCAGGACGATATAGCTGTTGCGTATGTGTATCCTCGCGCGCCACTAACATCATTCCTATCTCTCGGAGTATACAGAACGGCTCTAAAATCACACGCTGTTAATTACGCAAAAGATTCGAACTTGAATGCATGATGGTCATTTTTGAATGGCCAATCGTATACTTTCTCACATTAATATTAAGTTTATATAATTAGTCCATCAATTATATTACATTATATGTTAAATTTTTGTTGAAATAAGCTTCCCTAAATCTATCCGAAATATAAAATCTAGTTGTTCGGTTATTTCCTCGAAATGTAGTAGAAATTTCTCAAAGAAAGATTTTAATTTAATTATTAATACTAAATAATTCCAGCGCGCTGTTCCATAGCATTACGCGGTAATGTTTGGCATCTAAACTCGTCACTCTTCTTCTTTCGTACATTAATGTCGAGAGGAAGAGTGCATAACTTTGTGACGTCCCGTATAGCGCGGTCAGCTGTCGGCACTCAGTCGTGCGGCTTTTAACGCACTTTCAACCGTTTCGCGCCGTAAAATTACCATCTCTTTTCTTCTTCCTATTTCTTCTGCATCCCGACGTCGCGATGGAAACGTCACGAGCGACGGTAACGGCAAAATGGAGTATAGTTTGCTGCGCAATTTGCTTACGCCGACGGAATCGCATTTGCGCATTCTAATTTTACAAGCGTCAATCTCACGTAATTGAAAACAGCGTCAGATTTTTGAGTTTATTTTTCCGGTCCTCGCGTCGCTAAAGTTGATAAACGCAATAAATGTGCGAAAATCCATCGATTACCTAAAAAATAAGGATATAAGAGTTTTGAGATTAATACTATTAATTAAATTTATATTATAAATTAATTAAAAGTTTACACAATAAAATATATACACACACGCATGTATATCTATTTATCCATTAATATTGTTTTTCTATTTAAAAGTGTTTCGCTCCTGGGAGAAAAAGATTTCAAAATACTATTCTAGAAGATCCTAAAAATGTTTTTATTGTGTCGTAAAGTTTCTCTCGCTGGCGCAATCTCACCTTAACTCGCTGCATTATACTTTCGTACGAAAAGTCGTTCCAGAGTTGTCGTATATTAATCATCTGGAAGAGGGAATAAAATTTCTCAGGGTTTGCACTATTTGATATTCGATATTGATCTGGTATTAGGAATCAGATTAGAGAGAGAGAGAGAGAGGGAGAGAAAGAGCCGATGGAGCCGACAATATCTGGGGTGTTAACAATGGATTATAAGGGATGAGAAACAACCTTTACTCAGTTTACAATTCAAGGGTGAGTTGATCATATTTTTTTCCCGAAGGGCACACATTTTCTCGCGACTTTAATATTTATACAAGTCGCCGCGGTCTCAATATTAATGGTGTGCCTTCCAGTCCCAACTTTCTATAAAAGAATTATGAGGTATTACTTTATTGACCCGCTAAACAAGCAAAGTTATAAAAAACTGAGTTTTTCTATGTGATTTTACTATGGGAAAAAAGACCAAGATTTTCGAAAGAATTAAATGTGCCCCCTTCTAATCTGACATTAGTGTCTCAACATTTTTAATAAATTACAGTTATTTGGAAGAGCATATAAAAACGCGATTGCAAATGTTATGACAGGATTGTAAACAGCGAGGGAATCAAAATAACATAAATCAAATAACAAAAATAAAAAATTACCAAAGAGATTCTTAATATTTAGAAATCTTTAGTTCTCTACTCTGTTATAAAAAATCTTTCAAAAATAGCAATTGTGACAATAATTTCTTTCTGTAATGATAAATAATATTCTTATTAAAATTATATGCTATAGAAAACCATTAATTTATTTAATTGGAACTTCTTTTATCAAAACGCTAAGTTGGGGACAGCAGCTATATCAGTTAACAAGAAAAATGGATAACAAGATCCTTTCCTCAGCGTTTATTCTTTCCGGATCATTCTGAATGGCCCGACCCTGTATATCGAACATTGTGAAGGATACACGACACCCTTGTGTAACGGGATACCAGCCGCCGGTGAGAAGAGAAGGTCGAAGTGGAGGAAGATGATGAAGAAGACTTGTGTTCTGGTTTATAAAAATTGCTGCTGGAACATATCCTTGAAAGTCGAAACCACGAGAACGCCGGCGCCCATACATCACCGCTAACACGCTAATATTTTATTAACACGTTGACAAGAACATAATACGATAAATAATTTTTTTGTTTTTTTTTTTATTTTTGTTTTTTTAAATTTTCATTGAGCTGTAATTGATTTTCTATAAGATGCTCTATGACGACTTTTGATCTTATATTAGATTATCCCTAGAATCCATGACTGGGGTCGATTTCGACCCCAGGCGAACTTTGAACTACGCTCCTGAGCTAGCGAGTGACATTATCGACTCAGGACCTGAACCATAATTCATTTCAACTTTCTAAAAGTAGGGTTATGTCGGGCGCAGCGTTAGTTGTTCGCTAGCAGTGAAGTAGCACAGTCGTAAAGCGGGCGTGGGGTCGATATCGACCCCAGTCGTGACTTGCCGTTTGAGTTTCGTCACGGTAAGCTAATTTTATTTTTTCGCTAGAATCAATATATATCATGTATTATTACGTAATCTGAGCATAAATAGTCATAAATATTATTTAAGACGAAATATCACACAATTTAGTCGGTAAAAATCCCGTTGCCTAAGAAGATTGACATTTCGCAGAAAATGGCTGGGCGATATAATGTTTCATTTTTTTCATATTTTTTACTATTTTGTATCAAATAAAAATGAAATAATACTTAAAATACAATTTTTTATGGTTTTTTCATCGACTTTTTCCGTATTTCAACTTTGCGAATTTCTTCATCTTTATAGTCCCAAATAAATATACTTTTTGAACAGAACATAGCGATGACAATTTTTTTCTAATAGTCTAATGTGTCCTCTTTAAAACCCCGTTTGAAATTTTAAAATCGGTTGATTACAAAAAAAGATACAAATTTTTGTTTAAAAAAAGAGGTTTTTGCTGATTTTCTGCGTTTTTCAGTCTTTAAATGGATTTTTCACTAACTAAACTTGAGTAAAATTAAATTTACCGTATACCATTCTCTTCGTTATTAAAAAACGAAGAAATTCATGTAGGTTTAAAGGCCCTTTATTTCTGTAGGACCGGTTTTACGATCAAATAAAGCGTGGGGTCGATATTGCCCCCAGTCATGGATTAGAAGGTCAAAAAAATGTATCATGGATTCTAGGGTTATAAATGGTATAGCTAAGAAAGCTTAATCGAGACTGTACAAAAAAAAGGATTAATTCTTATATAAATAATTATTATTTTAATTATTATTCGTATATATGTTAGATTTAGCTGTATAACAGACAGAGCCATATTACACAAGTATGACGTTTTAATTTTTTTTCTTATGGAAGGATTTTTTGCACTCTATCCAATCGCCACGCAAATCTGCGGAGAACATATAGCATTTAGAGTGACACCGACAAAAATAAGTCGATTGCCTCACCGCGCTCTGCGTGCGTTGCGGCGCATCTTAATAAAAGAGCGTGCACATACGTCCTTCCGCCTCTGAGGCCGCCGGTGGCCATTTAGAAACCAATGAGCTTCTAATGAAGGTGGAGCTTGCGACGGAAATCTCCACCTACTCTTAAAACGCTCTATTTCCCTCCGCTCGTCGGCGACGAGCGACACAGCGCGAGCCGAGAGAGGATCGCGAGGAACGCGAGAGAACGAGAGAGGAAGAGAGAGTGAGAGAGAAAGAAAGAGAGATCGGAGGTGGAGAGCCGATGAGGACCTTTAAGTACGTCTTAACTCGGCCAAGTCAGTTGGCATCTCGCTGTCCGAGAGCAAAATGACGCTTTCGTTTTCGAGCGCGATCCCGCGATCGGACGAGCCCGATCGGCAGGTTGTAACGCCGCTGTAACTCCGCGACAGTGGAAATTACGGTCTCCGCAGTTTACGTCACGCTTAACGCAAATTACGATCTATGACGGACGTGTATCGATCGTTTAAGTTCGGAAGTGAATAGAAAACTTTCAAGCCAAGTTTGCTTTATGAGATAAAAGTTGGTCCAGCGGAAGTTGGTGAGAAAGCGTGAGGGAAAGTGGGGTAGTAGTCGGCGGGTATCAGGTATATATGTCAGGAAACTTTATGATCGAAGTTAGGAGGCATAAGATACTAACGAACTTGATCAAAACTCGGTGTAGAAGTTGCGAGAGTATAAAATTACGTTGATTGGAAAGCGCCAATTGTGAAATGTCAACTGTATCGTAAAACTCCGGAGAATCGGATATCTCGTGATTTTGCGCAGCAGTGAGAACGAGATTAATTTCTAATCGTTAAACTTAAATTTCTCGACGTATTTCCATAAATATACCGCAATCAAGACCCAAGCATTAATAAAGTACATCATCGTTAGTAAAAAAAAAATCATGGTTATTTCAGATTTTTCAATTTTTATTACTTTATTTACTCAGTTTTATCAGAATCTTACTGACATAAGAATTAGCTAGGAAAAAGAAAGAAAAAAATATGTAGAACAATATATCCGTAATCGGTGATGATAGCTGAGGTCAAATCGTGATCGTCGTTGCGCGATAAAATGCCAATTGGCGGGTACCGTAGTTTAAGGGTTAATAAGCTTAATCGACACTCGATAAGAATTGCCTCAGCTAGGTCATTGGTTGGCCTAGCATAAAATTCAAATACGTCACGAAATTTTCAGATTTTTTTCAGAAGTCAATTCTTTCTACCTAGATAAGAATTCAGTTGTACACATATATATTATATGCATTTACATTGTTTATAATTTTTTATAAATATAATAATATTACTTATGTGCATTTGTATATTATAATTAATACTTGTGTATATCAGCAATACGCAAAATATATCTAATTATTTGATCAGTAATATAAATGGCAAGAAAATAAAGAGGCAATCATAAAAAAATGGTCAATTCGGAAAAAAAATTAAATAAATATCAAAGATCTGTGTTCTAATAATTGGAGCGGTCGGGAACTTCTCTAGCCAGAAAAATCACCGCTCTAATTATTATTCGGGCGGTGAGGAAATTCGGAACCCCGGATGTGTACCTAACGACGACCAGAAGCCCGTAACGAATTGTAATTGAATTGGGACGCGTGCGCGGATTTTAACCGCCTGATTACGCTCATAAATATCGAAATTAGCATATTTTCCGACAGCGAGAAAGCCAGATGAATTTTACTTGAATATTGAATGAGACGCGCGTGACAAATCGAAAATTGGACGACGCATGTGTATTAACACATGTACATATATCTTTATAAAATTACCGCCGTAAGTGCAATAAGGCATGCGCCTGTGACAAGAATAATTTACGACGACAATTCAATTCGTATTGCCGTATTCTTGAGATTATAGCGATAATTTTAGAACGATCGATCGCAGTTAATTAATAAAACGACAATTTATAATAAATGCAAAATGAAAAAGAAATATAGGTACGCATATATAAGATATAATTTATTAACAGTGATGCTGGAGGTTTCATTCTTTTCTGTCGCACATGTTTTGTCAATCACTTTTCTCGTCGAATCGTTTTTATAGAAAACAGTCTGTAAAAAGTGTTAATTTGTTTTATTATTTTACTTCTAGTAATAATTAAATTAAAATCCGTTCTTCTTGCAACATATTTGCGTTTGTTTACTCATAACTTTTCGATGTTTCTTACACATTTTCTGTTATATTTTTACATTATAGAAGGTGCTTAAACTGCCAAGAACATATTTCATCGTGAGAACGATATTAAATTATTGTACTTTATCAACGGTGTTTACGTCTATATACTCGGTTAAATTTTGCAAGACAGATATACTAAGAGAATTATTTATATACGGTTGAAGTATGAACGAGTTTCAAACAGTCTACGAACACTTTGCAACCGCTGGCACGTGGCCCTAATTGCACCGTCACGCTCGAGCTCGAAAATGCTTTAATTAACATTTCCCAAGACAAATTACGCATAAACGTGCGGGTTCCGCACACTCACCGCCATAAATAATCGTCATTCTTTATCGATCACATACGTTAAATTGATAAAATCTTTTATCCGAAATCTTTCGTTAAAAGATTCAAAATTCTAGTTCAACGTGTGCATATATATTTTTCCATTTCAATTTAAAGAGCAAATACGTACAACTGAGAAAAGTAGATGTAGTTCTGAAAAAAGACTGTTTCAAGAAATTGAGTTGATTTTAGCGGATCGGAATTGCTTTGCACCAAACCATTATCATCTTGTTTCTTTTCTGCCTCGTTCAAATTACGAATAGACCTAGATTCTAATACGTCACACCTCTATTTAGCCGCACTTAGTGCTAAATGCGGACGCCCAATTCCAAATTTTAATCTCCCGATACGAAGATTGCGCTCAGGGTCAACGTGAGATAAATAGCATTACCCGATTTAACGTTAAACGTATGACGAGAATACGTGCTACAATCAAGCCAATTCGCAAAAAATATTACGGTAAAACACGACCATAATTTATAACGCTGATTGTTGTCACAATTTCGATGTCACATTTTATATATAACGTCTCAGATATAGAAAATGATCATAAATGCTGCAGATTGGTTCGCCAGAAATATAAAGAAGAAAAAAGAGAAGGAGAAATTATTATTAAATCGTTAAAACGACTGACTTTTTTAATATATAGATATGATCGAATAATCATGTGTGTTACGAGAATTTGTCATAAATTATTACATTATTATTATTAATATATCTATTAATAATATTAATCTAATAATTATCACATATGGAAAAATATACTTGAGAAGAAAGACTTACTATTGTAAACATCTCTACCCAAGAAAAATTAATAAATAAATTTATTATAAGAATTAAATTGATTATAAGAAATTGATTACCACAGTTATATTTCTTTTTCTCTTTTTGTTTTAACAAAAAATATACAGCCATGTATAATGAATAAGCGAGAGTGACAGAAATTAGAGTCATCATATGGAAAATTACTGTCTTTTCGGACACGCATGTAGGCTTAAAAAAGTCCCTTAATGTAATGCCGCAAGGTCCACCCTTTTATTATTATACATATGTTGAAAATTCGTTTGACATCGCGTGGTGGAACACCAGCACGTGGACATGCGATATCGCGCCTCTCACAATATTTACACTGTAAACCTATATCTCACTTGAATATCATCCAAAGTAGAACGATACAAATGTGCGTTTCACGGCACACATCTCAGATTCATCTCGCACACACGTCTTATACGTCTTATATCACGTCGCGAATTGGCTCGTCCAGATTATCTTCGTGCATTTTGAATTTCCACTACAATTCCGAGCCAGTTTCTGGCTGATATTTTGAGAATCCCGGCTGAATAATCATGTCGCGTGAAATTAAACCGCGAGTCTGGTCGCAGCTTCGTTTCGAGACGGATTACATCGTGTTTCATTGCAGCGGTGTATATAGCACGGTGCACGTTGGCGCTAATAGCAAAATGACAATAGTAAAAATATAACTTTATATTGTTAATTCGAGTATAATTGTAATGTATCAATATTTCAAGTCATTCTACCTCGCAGGTGAGATTCTATCTCGCGAAATTGAGACGACGATGCTCGCGTCGACGCCCGGTGATATAAATACGCGGGATGTGAAGGATGTGTTAAAAAATTAGAAGACCCCGCGAGAAGAGCGGAGAACTTGGCAATGGTATTCGTATTGATTGCCATGCCGACGTGAGAGGGAAGGTGCAGCGCCAAAAGAGAGCGCGGGGTGAAGAAAAAAAATGTTAGCCGCGACGGACGCGGAGCAAGGCGCGAACAACGGCGGCGTGATAGTGTCGCAGCTCGCGAATTCGCACACTCCGCAGGACTTCACGGTCTCGCGCCTGCTGTCCACGCCGACGCACTCCTTGGGTAAGGAATACGAAAGTATAGTATTTTGTAATTGTATAAAATGGGACATTGTTTAATTATCTAGCAAATTGTTAATTAAACGTTCTCATAACGAAGGACTTTTTAATGAAAGTTTCTTGATACTAACTTGCGAATAAGAAAGTTATTGCTTTCTCTTATTTTCCATCGTTAATTATTCGAAAATAGCACTCGATAATTACTTTGTAACTAGAATCTCACTATAATTATAATTTTATGAAATTGTATGTATACTATATACTCGCACAATTAATTTCAATGAAATTTTATGGAATATGGAAAATGCGTTACCAGCGCATGAGAACGCAGCATCTATTGCGAGTGACTTAATCGTATCCCTTCGCATTTAATCCGCGGTTCACGACGCACTTGATTTCATCGAAATCGCGCGTTTCCAGTCATGCTGCTCGCATTATGCCGCTTTGATGAATGCCCAAGTATAGTGGAGTCATTCAAAGAATGGCCGCGGCTGTTAGACGACCCGCGCGCGCGTTCCTTTTTTCCCCCCTTTTTTCCTTTTTTTTTTTGATGCAGGCCGCCGGTATCGCGAGCGGCATCTTCGAGACCGCCACGTTTCGCTGTGCGATAGAGAGACCATCGAGAAAAATAATTTCACATTCTTCTCGCGGAGCAACGTTTTTACGCGCGCGAAAAGTATATGTATAACCGTAAGCGATCGAGATTGACGTTCGTTCTGCGCGAACGATATTTCTATTATGTCGAAAATAACAGGTTTCGATATTTTCCGTCGAATATAATTGAATGTGCACATTTCGAAAAGGGCACATCTCTGAAAATTAAAATTTTTCAGGAATGAAAAAAAAACTGATTTATTTTTAAACTATTGTACCCAGTACATAACTATGCAATTTGCATTTTAGAGTCAAGTCATAATAGAATATGAAAGAAAAAATATTTTTAAGGTATTGTTATATGATTAGAGTGAATATTAGTGAAAAGACCTATATAAACCAAAAAATGCGAGATGTGCTCTTTTCGAAATTGCACATTTAATTATAGTAAAACACTAGAAACTTTTAAATCTCGAAAGCAAATTATACAACCATTTAACGTGCATATACAATAGCAGAAATTATATAACAATAGCATATTAAAGAGAGTGCAAATGCTTAAAGATGTCTAATAGGAAAATATGCCACTTTATCAGGAAAATAAATGAACAAAAGAAATTTCCAGTTATTTCGAAGACCGGATTGACTGTGAGATATCACTGACACGTGTTACGTTTCATAGATTGCAGCGAGACTTCTTCTGCTGCTGGGAACAGAAGACCCAGGAGAAGCAGGACGACCTTCTCGGCGCAACAGTTAGCCGCGTTGGAAAGGGTCTTCGAGAAAACGCACTATCCGGATGCCTTCGTCCGCGAGGAACTGGCGACTAGGGTGTCCTTATCGGAGGCCAGAGTGCAGGTAATATGATGTAATGTAGTTGCATGCTCCACTATGGTAAAAACCGGGACAGATATAAACGAAAGTTTTTCTTTTGATAAATTTATTTATAAATTTTTGAGAAATATTGTATATGTATATCAAAAATCTATCTAGAAATTTGTAAGAAAATAATTGACTCCTTTCTTCTTTATATTTATCATTTTATTTAACATATAGATATGTTTATAATCTAATAAAAAATTCTGGTTTGTTTGACTTTTTATGTTCCATTTTACTTTAATATTTCTAATTTCTAATAATGCACAGTGAACTATATACTATCTATATAATAAATACATAAATTGTATTGCTTGAGAGCTGATCTCTCAGATCTCTTTAGATTATATTTCTACTTATGACATAAATAACGAAAGCGTTAATTGTGGATTGGTGCGAAGCAATTAAGAAATAATTTCCTAATCATTTCGAATGCTTATTTCACCCGACAAATATTTGATGCATTGTCACGTTCTCTTGGTAATTTAGATTATATAAACACGTTTGTACCATAGTCTCATTTATTTACTGGCTTTAAGAATCTAAACATATAATAGAAGTGTGTGAAAAGAGCTCATAACGTTGATTGTCTCGAGGAACATACAACTGAATTGAAATCCAGAAAATATTAGATAAACAGAAATAAAGGATCAAATTGGGATACATCGGTAAAGTGTATCATTCGCAATGAAGTTCGATCTTTGTTCCACCCTTTGGTCGAGGATGATGGAACGTGGCGGAACGACAAACCGCCGCCTCGAGATGTTCACCAACCGGCTAGCCAATCAACCGAGCAACCGACCAACCCACAGAGGAACGAGCGGACCGCTCTTTGAAGCTGTCTTCCACTCGGTAACCGAGAAGACTAGCTGTCCGAGAAAGTATCACGACGTGCACATGTGTTAGGCTCTTGTACCGAACGTAACGCGTCGCCAGTAACACGAGGGAAAGAAAGATGAAGAAGAAGAAGGAGGATGATGAAGGGGAGGAGGAGGCGGCGGAAGGTGGAGGTCGCGGACAGCTAGGCAGAAAATCGGAGGAGACAGGTTGTCAGAGCGGCGAGAGAGATGGGGAGAATGAGAAAGATAGAGAGCTATGATTAGCCGGACGGCGACGCGCGCTCCAGCATCTGCGCGCTCCGGCGTCGTGCGTCGAGCACGTGTTTGCGTCGCCGTCGCCGTCGCCGTCGCCGTCGCCGTCGCCAGCGGTCCATGCCGCGTACACGCGTCTGTCTGCGTCGTCGGTACGCCTGCCAGGAGCCGTCACGCTGTCCCGTCTTCGGTCGGCGCGCCGCGTCCTTCCATCCCTCCGGCCCCGCCGCGCCGCCGCGTCTTCCCGCTCGAAGACGCGAGATTTTTGGAGTAACGCGAGACGAGAAGGCGCGTCAATAGCGCGAGAGAGCGTATCAAGTGTTGCGCCGACGGTTTTTCGTTAGAAGAGGTGATTCTCTGAGAGCGGAGAGCGTGTTCTTCAAATCGAATTTATTTGTCTTGTGCAAGCTTGGTCTTCCTCGCGAGTGATGTCGGACGAGGAGCATTTGCGATAGTCGGGTCATGTCAGATCCATTAGATTTTCGCCGAAGATGTTCCTAAAAGGCGGCGTGGTCCTTTGAGTCGGATTTGTTTGAGTTATATTCTAAGACTTCAATTCGTGGAATTTATTTGAGAGACAAGCGTACGCTTTTGAGAGGTCGGAAGAAACTCGATGAAGCGCTAATCAGTGAAGCTAAATTAATAAATATATACTTACACGTTAGATGACTAAAATAAAGATCCGCAAATGAATAAACTACCATCCGCAAAGAGACATTAAAGCACGACTTTGAGAAGCGTTAATCTTTTGGGTCAATAAATTGAATTTATTTATTGTGAATTTACTGTAATGCGTATCAGACACGTTTTCAGCAACACGTACGCCCCCAATCCTATAATTGATTCTTAAAAATTATGTTTTCTTATTGTCGCGATCATGCATAGAAGTAAAATTGCAATATTACTCTAGGAACTCTCTCTAGTACTCTAGTCCTTATTTTATTAAAATTTTTATTCATCCAATGAATTTAACACCCCAGTATCGAAAGAATAAAGCGCACAGTAATTTTAATGTGCTCCTTTCATTTTTTAAATATTTTTTTTCTCTTTTTCTTTATTGTCCTCAATTATTAATAATTTATAGAACAATAAAAATATATGCAATATGTAATAAAATAATGACAATGACTTTTAATTGAGATGTAAAAATTCCAGGTGACCATTTATGCAAAAAAAAAATCAAACACCCGTTCCCGGGTTAAAAATAGCAGATATATCCCCTCTGGTTTTCTTCTTTTATTATCCCCCAATCGCGTATAAAAACATCGATCCTGTTCGCACATAGAGAGTTCGTTTTATCATTTTTCATTCTTGTCAATCCCCAGAGGATTTCATCTTTAATAATCGACAGCGGAGATAAAAGCACCGCCAGCAAAAATGTACCATGTCGTTTTTTCTGTGCAGGTGTGGTTCCAGAATCGGCGGGCGAAGTTCCGACGGAACGAGCGGAGCTCGGCGATGAGCCGGGGCGTCTCCGCGGGCAGGGAGATGGAGGCCGCGCTACCGCTGCGCCCGATCAGGGTGTCGCATCCTCCGCAGCATCCGGCGGAGAGCAACGCGGAATCGTCGCAGGGCGCGGCTGCTACCACCCAAGTGACGGCGCAGTATTCTTACGGCGATTATTGGCGAGCGACGCCGCAGCATTACGCGGTGCAAACCGCCGCCGCGACCGCCGCCGGCTGCCACGGCTTCGCCGCGAACGGCGGCCTGGCGAACGTCGGCCTGCCGCCGTACCATCATCATCATCAGGCCGACATCCACCACGGCACCCTCGACGGTGCCGCCGTGAACGGTCTGAGCGCCCTGAGGCTGCGGGCGCACCCCTACGGCTCGACGTATCCAGCGATGCACGCGAGTATGTGACACTGTCCCTGGAAGTCGAGTCTCCGAGAACGCGAGAATGTAACGCCAAGTCTTTGAAAATGTAATTTAGCTCGAGAGAATTTAAGCTTTTGAAATCGAGATCGAATTTACTTAAATCACACAAAAAAATATTTTTATTAAAAAAAATACGTATGAAAAATGATCTTTCTCGAAGTTATAGAAGACTTAAGACGCGGCGCGGAACTGTTTCTTAGGACGTAGTATCCAGTTATAAATTCGTGCATTGAAGACTTGAATATTTATTACGGTTTTATTAACTTTCTTCTCTCGCGGAACAGACCGTTCGAGTTACTCCAATATTCTGGAGATATGAAGTGACGTAGATATGTGAAGAATTATTTATTGGGATTTTTATAAGTGACCAGAGTTTATTCGAATCATTCAAACCAAAGATAAGCTTGACTGTTAAGAATAAATTTGAGATCGTAGTCACGTCAAGATGATCTCGCGCAGCATCTAGCATCCCTGGGGCTATGTGCAAAAACGGTACGTCGGATATTCTACGAATTATCGCTGCAAACGTCCAACGTTGATCGTGTGCCTTATAACCAACGATAATGTTTAACTGATTAGATTAGGTTTAAGCTGTAAGTTCTGAACACACAGGGTAACAAGTAAATAAGTCATAGCGCTTCTTTTTCCCGTCGATAGAGTAGCACATTAAGTTATATGCGGAAGTGTATTGGAATATTTTAAGTACAGGATATACAGACGGCATTCTACACAGATTTGTGGCCTTATACAGATATATGTAGATGGTATAGACAACATCGTGTGCAATAAAAACATTGAGATCGGAGAACGTCTTCGGGTATGTTTCTCTCATTGATATATACATATATATAATCAGAAAAGTACACAACATATAGATATATGTAACAAATACATGTATATATGTACACATATCGAAATATATATTGGCACAGGATTAGAATACAGTCAGCCGGCGTATACATATTGATCGTTATTCGTATTTTGTGTCTCACTCAATGTATTATTCTCCCTCAGCAGGTACTATGGAGTTTTTTAAGCTCGTGGCACAAAACGTTGGTGTAATTAAAAGTAAAGTGCAAATAACACAAGATCTCACGTTCATAAAGTGGTATGATTAAAATTATTTTCTTTATTAATTCTTCTTTTAATAGATTTTTTTAACTTGGACGATATTTTACATGGAATGACTTAAACTTAACAGCTTAAAAAGATATATATTACCTGCTGAGGGTCAAATATCAACGACTACATCAATCATTTTGGACCATTTGATAATGATGTTATAATTTAACAAGACAAACATTCAAAAAACATCAAAAGGATACCTACAAGGTATCCAAAACGTTATAGCGTCTAGATAGACGCTTTTTCAACATTTTCACAACATTTTTCCTGACTTGTATTGCCTTGACGAGTATATCAACAACCTTGAAAAATTTCATCGAATATAAAATTCGAGATTTCGATCTTCATAAATTCATTTAAGGTCGCGTGTTACGCGTGTTATTTCCAACATATTTTTTATGTGCCTCAGTACTATACCGTTACTTGAACATTCTGCACAACATTGCTCCAGTCAAGCTTGGACGGGACCAGATAAAAAGCCGGTGCGATCTTACTTCCGCAGGGGCACTGACTGCCAGCGATCCAGCTGTACGCGCCGAGTTTTGTGTTACATTTAGGACAGTTCAGTTTGCCCTCAACGTTATGCGTAATGTCGGGCATCCAGGCCAACGGTTCTACGAAGTAGATCTTGTCGCAGAGCTCGACTCGCGCCGAGTCGTCTCTCCTCTGGATCAATTTGTCATAGCTCTCGCCGTCCTTCAGGACGCTTTTGACGCTGATATGCCGCCAGATCTGCTTCTCGCGCGGTGCATGGGGCAAAATGTTGCTGGCGCTCGCCACGATGCGACGGCACTTCTTACAACGATAAACCGACGGCTCAGGACGCATGGTTGTCAGCGCGGGATCCGGCTTGATTAGATCGACGCAGCTCTGGGGAAGAATGCGAGCTTTGCGCACCTTGTCGGCGGCGATCTGCAAACGATACATCTTGAACTGCACATTGGTACTGTCGACGCCGTAGTCCATGTTCTCGTAGAGCCGCAACTGCGCCACGAAGCCTGGGTTCGGCGCGACAAAGCGACGCTTCGATTTCACCACTTGGAGCGCATCCACGAAGCTCAACTTGCGCTTCTTCATGATGTACGCAATCACCAGGGTAGCGGATCGCGACACGCCGAAGTAACAATGCACCAGTACCCTGCCGTCAGAGTCGAGGGCACGGTCAATGAATTCGTAGGAGTCTTCGAAGTGCGTTAGCAGATCTTCTCGCGGCATATCCGTCATTTGAATATACTTAATGATTAAATTCGGAAGACGTTCCTGGATCTTTCTTGGCAACGGACATGAATCTATTGTTAATATACGAGTTATTCCAGCGTCCTTCAGCCAGTCAACATCTGTGGCAGCCGTCAAATTACCCAGGAACAAACCCGGCTCGATCTCGTCAAAGCTGCATGGGCCAGCATCAAAATCTTCTCTTGTTAACTTACTCGTGTCTCCCTTCGCCATACTCAGCACTCTGCAATCATGAGCAAAGCTGCGGAGGATATTTCTGAACCTAATCTTACCATTAGGCGTGCTATCTACTTCATTACATCCAAAATAGGTGGCGGATCAACGTATGACGCATTCCACATTGATATTATAGATAACATTTAAATTGAAATAACTGATACAGGAACGGAGAGTAGAAATTTAAAAGGTGGAAGTACATTTTCACTACATGTTTAGGTCTAATGGCACTTATTTAATTATTATTCTCTATTTACATATCATCCTTATAAAAATAAACATATATAAATATATTACTGAACAAAATATTAACAAGATAAAACTTAGATCACTAAAATTGAACGTATGTTCAATAAGTAAAATGTCTGCAGTATACTAGCAGTTTGCAAGCAGATGCGGGCAGAATATTACAGCAGCGTAGCATCAACCTGTATTACTCATTTCTGCTAGCAGAGCTCGCCAGTAGAATGTAAACAAAATCTGTCATTTCGTGTAATTATTTAAACGGAATATCATTTCTGCTATCAATCTGTTATCACAAAATAGGCTAACAGATTCTGTCAGATTTTTGCGGGCAAGATTTGTAGCAGACACTTTGCAAAATCTATTTTCGACAGATTTGACTATTTACAACATAAACCACAAGCAACACTAAACATGTGAGGAATGGATGCACAATAATTAATTGGCTAATCGCGATAGACCAAGGGACACGAAATTAATGGTATAAATTATAAAATGAACTTGCCTGGACAAAGAAAAGGTCATCCTTGCCGACAAAAGTATACAATACAGTAATAACGGCCATCAGATCTACTTTGGAGAGACATGCCTTGAAGGGAAGATTGTCGTTTGACTTGCAACTCACTTGGTGCCTCGTGATTTTTATTAAAGTATCTCGAATAACAAAACGACACGCGCGCGATATTCCATCAGCTGTTGCAGCCTGCTGCAGTCCGACGGGACTATTCAAAGAGGACGGCTTTCGATCAAATCATCTTCGAGAACTTTCGAGTCTACGCAAACGCAACGAGCCGGTGACGCTCACGCGCGAAATATCGCCGCTGTCCAACATCCAACCAACGTTATTGTCATCGAAAATGTAAATGACACGTCTCAGAATCAGCTGTGCACCTCAACGATTACCCTGTGTTCCTTTTTTACTGCCAGTACTGTTCGGTGCGTTCGGTATTGATTGTTATGGCTGTGTATTCACTGCCAGTACTGAAAATCTATAGTTACGTGACGCAAACTATATATTTTCAGCACTGCCAGTAAAAAAGAATCACGGGGTATATATGTAATTAAAGGTCTATCCAGACAAACTTGCATAGGTGCATAACCATATGCATAAAGAAACGGATTGGTCTATTTCCTTATGCACATGCATATGGATATGACATGGACCAATCAATTCTTATGCTTATGTTTATGCGCTATGCAAGTTTGTCTGGATTGACCTTTAATAAGGGTCGGCAGCTCCGTTAACTTATGGCGTTTTCGATTTACTACTCGACCCGACTCGGGTCGCATCAATGGACGTGGAATACATACATAGGCCGGTATTCATAATCAAATCTTATTTCAAGATCGTCTTAAGTAATATCTTAAGATGCTAATACGGCTTTGTGATTGGTTAGTGACATCTTAAGATTGTACTTAAGGGGATCCTATAGTAGCGGTAGTTACCGACATTTTTTCATTTTAAGGAATCTTTGAATTGGCTTTACAGAATTGCAAGTTTTTGGTCTAGAATTAAAGTACGCACAAAAATCTACATCGCGTTATATGATTTCATATCGGGAACGAAAAAAAATTAAAAATTTTACTAATTTGGGCACATACAACTGTCATCTGACGACAATAACAAAATTACTGCAGTTTATATATGTATAATGACACCAAGGCGACGTAGGGACAACATGTAGGAACAATATCTTGTAAATAAAACTAAGATTCAACGTCTAGAAAAAAAGATTTTGTAAAATGAAGTTTTATTAAGCAAAAGCACATTTAGGTTGACAGGATCGTCCGAGTTGAACCAATCAAAACATCCCATTTCGATCCCGTCACAAGAATGTAATAAAATGGGATGTTTTGATTGGTTAACTTGTGACGACGCGACGCGTGACGCGCTCAGTGGAAACTCAGCCTTAGTGCCCATCTACAATGACTACTAGGTGTTTTAAGCCCTAAGGGTGCCTCCCCATGCAAGACGGAATCTCGGAAAACGGAATCTCGGAATCATTCTGATTGGTTAATCCCATGAGGCTATTAGTTAGCCTTAGGCCGAGTTTCCACTGAGCGCGTCACGCATCGCGTTATCCGTCGCGACCAATCAAAACATCTTATTTTATTACATTATTTGTAATGGGATGTTTAGATTGGTTAAGCC